TTTGTGGTGTTATTTTGTTATGAAATATACGCAAGAGACCAAATAACCAATGTCAGTCAGGTTTATTAATATGGTACAGGAAGAAGGTTCTGTATGATACCACTTTCCAAAGAGCATGTCTTGTGCCATGATGTTGTTCACCTTACGCAGAAAGTGTGCTCTCCAAAGTTACGTCTCTAAAGCCATCCTTGTACACCCTACTTGTAAAAGGAACTGCATAAGTCATTTGAGACTGGATTGAATTAATCCGTTATCTATCTTGTTTGGTTCTGGTACTATACCCTTTTATCTTTTGTTCTAAACCCATGCATTTGAGGTCATGATGCTCCCTTATTTTTGTTTTGAGCACTTGTCCTGGTACTAAGGGGCATGAAGGCACCTCTTAGATTAGCATGGGTAACTCCTTTCCTGTTGCTATGAAGACCTCTGTCAGAAAAACTGTCAGTATCAGATCTACTCAAGTCAAGACTTAATTTAGCTAATGCAAAGTATTATGGGATACTTGGCATAAGTGTACAAAGGTACAGGGCAATGTGGGCTATATAACTGTTATACTAATTCTTCAAATGCTTAGAATTTATATTGCAGGTAGTATTATCAGCATAATATATGTGTACTAGTCAGCGTATATTAGTCAACAGTGTGCACTTAACTTCCTATAGAAAACAAAACCAATTCACACTCCAGTCACTTTCTAGTTTGCCCTGACCACTACTCTAACCCTGTCCTCCTCTGTGGTAAGATCGGCACCTCCCAAGGGCTAGCCTGCACATCCTGTGCTGCCCTACTTCTGCAGGAATATATTTTGTCTTTTCCCCGCACTGTGATAGATAGTGAACTTATAATGGCTATGTGAATGTTAAAGCTTAGAAGAGGAAGTGGATACTAGCCAGCTTGGAGGCCCAAAATATTTAATTTGCAAAAATCCACATAACATGGTCTTTTAAAAAATAAATGACATTGCGTGATTGTGTTTGTACAGTACCGTTCCTTGCCAAATGCCATGGCTCTACAATAACTGCATGTGCAACCCCTGCACTTTCCAGAAGCAAGACTTTTTCAATGCTGCCAATAACTCAGCACGGCTGCCCAACCCTACAATAAACCTGTGTGACTGATCTGTAGTTGGCAAGGAAGCTGCCAACTTTCAAAGGGTTATCTATGCTTTTAATTCACTGCTTATAAATATCTTATGGCAAAGCCCTTCAAAAGTGTCTTTTGAGTGACTGTCTTGAGACACCTTTCAGGAGCCTGAATTTCTGAATGTGCTGGGCACCCACCCTCTAAAAATCTGCTCTGTTCAAGGTGTGTCAGGTTGGGAATCTAAAAAGCAAGGCACCTGGAATCTTTAGTCACTCTTGAAAATATTTGCCTTTTATTATTTTAAATGGGTGGTGGTCTTGATTCTTGTTGAATCCCTCAGGGAACCTCCTTGCCCCCATTCTAACTTCCTTAAACAACTTCTGAGTTTCACATGAGTGTTGCATCTAATTCTGATCCAGCACTGATGGGGAATTCTTCTGTGTGTTGGAGGAAGCCAAGAAGGGTGACAGTTGGAGAGATCCAGGGAACCTGCTTCCTCCTAAGGACTCTAGAGTAAAATGCTGTTGTATTCTTTACTAAGTGCTGACATCTCTGTGTTCTCTGCAGATCTTAGAAACCCAGCTTAATTGCCACCAACTTCACTCAAGATGCCGCCAGCAATTGGAGGCCCTCAGGGATACACCCCACCAGAAGGAGGATGGGGATGGGCTGTGGTCGTCGGAGCCTTCATCTCCATTGGCTTCTCCTATGCATTTCCCAAATCAATTACTGTGTTTTTCAAAGAGATTGAAGCCATCTTCGATGCATCTAGCAGCAAAGTCTCCTGGATCTCCTCCATCATGCTGGCTGTTATGTACGCCGGAGGTAAGCAAGCAGACTAGAGACAAAAGGGAGGTGATTGTTGTTTGTTCTGTGTCTGATTTAATGGTCTCCTATTGTATTGCCTTTCTTCAAAACACTAATAGGAACTGACTTTGTTTCCCATTTGGGTGAAATTTTCTAAACGGGTTTGTTTAGAGAAGTTTGGCATAAACTTTATTTAATGCCCAAAGTGTGAAAACGAGGTTAATCTGTCCTGCTCCTCTGCAAAGCTATAAGTAAAATCTTTCCAAGGAATTAGGACTTGCGTAATTCTGCACTTGCCCTCGTTAGAATGTAGCTGTGACATTTTGTCTGCTTCGAACGTCTACCGGAAGACCAGCGTATGATGCTACGGTCAATGCAGGAGTCCCTACAGAAAGTTGTCGCGTAGATGAAAGAAATTACAGCTTGCAGAGCTGATTCTAAACACAGCAAATCAATAGACGTACACACTGTGGTGTGGCCAAAGGTAAAGTGATAGATCTAGGAACAAAGAATGCAGACGAGGATTTGGGGGGTCATGGTGGATAATAGCGGAACATCAGCTCCCACGGCGCCACTGTGGCCGAAAGGGCTAATGTGATCCTGGGATGTATAAATTGGAATCTTGAGTACGAGTAGGGAGGTTTTTACCTCTTTATTTGGCACTGGTGTGACCCCCCCCCTTACAGGAATAGTCTGTCCAGTTCTGATGTTCACTGTACAAGAAGGATATTTGTTAACTGAACAGGGTTCAGAGAAGGGGCAAGAGAATGATTAAAAGATTGGAAAACCTGCCTTACGGCGATGAATCGATTGAGCTCCTAGAACCTAACTTAACAAAGAGAGGGTTAAGGATTGACTTGCTCAGTCTGTAAGTACCTACGTGAGGAACAGAGATTTGATAATGGTCTCTTCAGTCTAGCAGACAATGGTGTATATATAACAAGATCCAATGGCTGGAAGCCAAAGCTAGGCAAATTCAGATATTTAATAATGAGGGTAGTTAACCACTGGAACAATTTACCAAGGGTTGTAGTCCATTGACAACTTTTAAATCAAGATTCCAAGAGAGAGGCTCTAGTTCAAACAAGAATTTGGGCCGGTTCTAAGGCCTGTGTGCTACAGGAGGTCAGACCAGATGACCAGTGTTCCCTTTTGGACTGGTCTATGAATTTGTACCAGCTGAGGATCTGGCCCGGACATGAACACAACACCTGCTCTTCCTGTAACTTTTTTCTTTTCGGTCTGTTTCTCCCTTCTAGTGCTGAGAAATCTGACCTGGTCAAAGCGAGTCCTAGTTGCCTGGGCTAACTTTAGCAAGGGCATTTTGCAAACCTACCGAAAAGAATTGTTTCAAACTCCTCTTAACAGCAGAAAGATGGCAGCAGGGACCAAAAGTATAGGAAACAATTGGACAAGGCAAACAGTTACTTTTTTTTTTTTAAATGCTGGTGAAGCCCCCTTCTTCCACATCCTGGGGGTTTGGACAGATGGGGGCAAGACTCCAAACCACCTCCAATCTTACATTGCTTTCCTTAAAATAGGTAACTTCTGATCACATGGGGGTGGTGGGCTCTTACCCCCGTCCTCGCTTCCCCAATATTCTGTAGTAGCCTGTGAATGTGTGTGGTAAACTGTGGCTAAAAGAAGCTCCCACTGTGACAGCCGTAGTGTCCACCCTGGCGGCAGCTCTGAATATTGGCGATTGTGGTGCTGCCGCTATCCCAAACTGGCAAACCGCCTGACACACATTTGCATTTGTGCATCAAAAGCAGCTGGCGGCAGGAGCTGGGCATGAGGCTTTTCCTTGGGGGAACAGTCCCTGCTTTGTCCTAGCTCAGCTAGTGAGGCAACCGGCACTTTTCCCTGCCTCCATGTTATAACAAGCTTGTAAATTGTAACTGACTTAATGAGACCTGATCTAGGCCATTCCCTGTCTGTCTCTGGTGGTCCTGAGAATGTGTTCTCTTGCAATGCTCTTGGGAGCCTATATGCAGAAGGATCAGTAATGGCTAAAAGAGACATGGCAAGATGGAACCAGTCACCTGCTCTTGGAACGAAACGCTGCTTAATTTTTTTCTAAAGTGATTTGCCTCCCTCCCTCAATTGCCAGGCCTTAGGGTTGCTCCTTCACAATGATGGCTGCAAAGGTCTTAAAATCCCAACAGCTCACCCAGGGCCGGCTCTAGGCACCAGCAAACTAAGCACGCGCTTGGGGTGGCATGGCGGCGTTCTGGCCATCTTCTTTTTTCTTCTTCCAGCGGCAAAAGCCTAGGGCCGGCCCTGGCAGCAGCTGCGCGGGGGGCACCCTGGGGCTGCTGTGGTTCGTGCTGCGGGGGAGCAGCACCGCACCTTGTGGCTGGGCCGGGCAGGCTCTGAGCAGGGGACACTTGGGCTGGGGGCCGCCCCACGGGGCACATGGAGCCACCTGCAGGTGCTGCAGGGTGGCCGCCCCCCAGCGCTGCAGCCGGAGCCGGGTGAATCAGCCTGAGCCGCCCAGGGACTGCGGCAGGGCGGCCAGAAGCAGCAGTGGGGCTATAGAGGGCAGGGCGCTGCCGTGCGGGCCTGTGTCCCGCTCTCCGGGGCTCCGCTCCCTCTGGAGCTGCTCTGCCCCGGCTCCTCAGGCCTCTACCGGGGCGGTCCCCCGGCTCTGCCTTCCCGGGTCCCAGCTGGTCCTGGAGGCGGGAGCCCTGGCTGGAGGGACCCTAGGCTGAGGCACGGCCCAGGAGCCCCGCTACTTACCCTGACCCTGCCAGTACTGGACTGCCTGGAGGTGAGGGGGGAGTGGGCAGAGTCAGCACTGGTCGTGGGGAGCCCAGGGCTCGGGCAGCGGGGCGGGGGGGAGAGATGAGCGAGAGCCCAGGGCTGGGGCGGCAAGGGGTACAGGTGGGGGGGGGGGAAGAAGAGCCCAGGGCTGGGGGGTGGGGGCAGCCAAAATTTTTTTTTGCTTGGGGCAGCAAAATGCCCAGAGCTGGCCCTGAGTTCACCAGTGCCTGGTCCTGCAAACTGGTTTGTTAATGTGTATGTGACTTAAGTGCTGTTTTGCACTATGGCCCGAGTTTGAAACTGTCTATAACTTTCCAGAGCAAGGAATGCTCCTCTGTAATAGCTTTGGTGTTTGACTTAGGGGTGGCACAAGTACACACAACCACCGCATTGCTGGCATCAGGCTTTCCACAGCTCTTACAGTATGGACTAAGAGCTCGTAAAGAGAGAGTTAAGTAAATAATAAACTGTGTGGCGTAGAGTTAAGCGTGAGTCACTAGATGTGACATCAGCCCCACCCCTTTCCCCAAATAATCTTTTCTTGTAACCTTAGGACATCTGACTAACTCTGCTTCCTGGAATGAGAGGTGCTTTGCATACAGAATCTGCTTTAGTATCTCTTCGGAGGAAGTTCGGAGTGTGTGTGACGTTTGCAAAGGCAGCTCCTCGCCCTGCCCCCACCCCAGACAGACTGTACTACTGCTCTGCATGCTTGTTCACAAATCTGCAGCGAACCAGCAAGAATACTAAACTCCGCTTGGCTGAGCCTTTGTTGAGCAGCTACAATGCATGGTCTGTTCCTCCCAGACTCATTTGGAGCCTGAAAAGCACATTCTTGAAGGAACTCAATTTTCTTCATAATGTCTAAAGGATGCTTTCTTCTGGGGAAAGCTGCCAGATTGACCAAGGGACACCGGGAATTGGTCGAGCTTTCCCCGGAATAAGAGGCGAATGAGCAGCAGCAAAGCAAGGTCTAATTCTGAACTCTTGCTAGTTTGACCCCGTTGTGACTCAGCTAAAGTCCATGGTCCGAGGAGAGTTGGGCCTATGCTATGGAGGGCACTGGTTTGTGTTCGCTGCTTTGATTTTGGTCCAAGTGAGTTAAAGGGACACAAGTGAATAATTTGAAATGTCCTTGTCTCCGTTACTAATAAAATTAGGAAAAACACATTTTAATGTCACTTTCTGCTCTTTTCTCAACACTAGTCGATTTTTATTGTCAGGCGGTATTTTGTTAATAAAGTTTCTGGCCAGTTTGAAAGGTGTGTGCTACAGCGCTGCCGCAATCTGAGCTTTTGTTTAATCCAAACCAAAGATCCCCTTCCCATTGGCATGGGGAAGGGTGCTTGTGAGGATAGTTAAGCACGGCTGAGTGTCGCATCCAGCACAGAGCACTTTGGATCTGGCTCTTGCCCTGAGCAGTTTTGGGTTTTTGGGCCCAACTTGACGTGAGCATTGCTTTTTGCCACAGTAAGAGCTGACGTCATGAAGCCAAGCTTAACGTACTGCTCCCTGACCATACATCAGCAGGCTTTCGGTCCTACTATTCCCTGGTATGTAATTAGGGGGCAGGGTAATTTGCAGTGCTGTCCTTGGGATCTCAGGGAGTGGTTTCACATTCAATGGGGGAATCTTTCAAACTTTGCTAAGCTCCTAGTGTGTCCTACACGTTGGCTGGGGGAGGGAGGGAGTGTCAGCCTCTGGATGCAGTGCTGCAGATGTGAAAAGGAGGAGTCAGTCCTTATGGATTTGCACTTGGCTCAGTTTGTTGATCAGCTCCAATTGCAGAGGTTACTTACAGAGACTGTTCAGGGCTCTGTGCCTGCATGGGCACTGCACGTGATGGAGGATGTAGGCCAGTTGGAATCCTGCTGGGATTTCGGAGTGCCTTGGCTCCACGTAGGAAGCCAGGTTGCTGCCACTGCCACGGGATCCTCTTCAAACATTTTCTAGGTTCTGCTCAACTAGAGGTGAATAGGACAAGCCACATCTGAGTAGCCGGGAATAACATGTTGACCTTGCTGTCTGTTAATGGTGAAACCAGGTCTGTTAATGTTCGATGGGTGCTCATTCAGTTTATTTAAATACATTTTAGTGTCTGTAGAGCATGCACCACTGTATCTGATCACTGTTTACTTTGGATTAGGATTTCTTGTAATGAAGCGTTTTAAACTGTGGGTGTACATGGCAATCTGACTGCTCAAACATTGGAGGAGTAATTAAAATAACCAATGAACAAAAATTCCTCCCCTGCATGTGAAACGTTTCTGCTGGAGGAGCTTTGGAGCTGTGGCTACTCCCTGGCTGTGCGTTCAGCACACAGCTAGTCTGTGCTAAACATCCTGTTATTTTTGTTACCCTGTCTGTGCTCTCCCACTTGCTTCTGTGTTTCCTCCACATGTCACTCCTGATCTGTAAGCCCTTTGGGGGGCAGGGATGCTTGCTTACCATGTATTTCACAGTTCCTGGCATAGTAGGGCCCTGAGCTGGCTGACTCCTTTAGGTGTCACCACAATATAAATGATCGATCAAATTTTGGATGGTTGCAAACAGGATAGACCCCACATATCCCAGTTTAGAAAACTGCAGTCTGATCTTCAGGACAGAAATATCCCCAAAGAGTGGACAGCATTACATGCAGCACAAATAAACACAAACTCTCTTGTTTCCAAGTAGCTGTGGGAAAGTTTCTTTACAACTGCTCTCCATCCCCACTCCCCCTGTCCCTTGCTTCTTTTCATGAGTAGCTATAATGAAAGTTCATGTTACTATTTGCTTTGGGTATAATGGGGGAGGGGATTTTTTTCTTGTCCTGCCCTCCAAGCCAGAGGAGTCGAGTATGTACAAGTTTAAAAGGTTTCTCCTGGGATATAAAGGAGCGCATGTCACACTGCTGTAGAGGAAGACCGTATTCTGAGCTAGTGTGACTAGCTAGTGCAGGAGATGAATCATGCTGAAGTTTCAGAAGCTATGCTGGTCTGGCGGAGGTGGCCACGGCCAGCATCATAGACTGATTCAGATGTCAGTTGATCGAAGGCTTTCAAGAGTAACTGATGACTCTTGAAAACTTGGGAAAAAAACACTTAGTTTAGGGACCATCCTGCTTTTTCCTTTCTCTAGATTGGTAACATGCATGCAGACAAGATTTCCATGTGACTGTGGCTTTTTATGTATAGAACTCCAGTAGAAAATAAGGAGCAGGATCTAGCAAAGCAGATCATGGTTTCACAGTGGTGGGATGGCTTGACTCAAACGTTCAGGTTTCCATCAGGTTTCTGTAACTGAAGCAAAGTGAAACTTTTTAAAACGACAAAAAAACCCAAAACCAACATTGACTCAGTTTAAACTCCAGTCTCACTTGAGCACTGTTCTTTCTGTTCTGACTCACTAAAGCATTTTACAAAATCCCTTCAAATCTCCCCCTTTCTGCCCCCATGTGCACTTGATAGTTTGGTACCACCCACATCTAAAAGCTCTTACTAGAGAATCTTACCCAACATGCAGGCTTTTGAAAATGTCCTTTCTGTATATCATAACCCCCTCCTGAGGGGGGGAAAAAAATGACCAGCTTGTTGCACACCGCATATTCAGGGGTGTTCATGTGTTGGGAGATGTGTGGTGGGTTGTTTGAGCCACTCCCAGAATAGCTAGAGTTTGCATTAGGGTTCAGAGAATAATAAAAATAACTAGCTCCAATATAGTGCTTTGCATCATGAGCTCTCAGTGCTTTCCAAGGGAGTCAGCATGGTACCGTCCCTGTTTTATAGATGAGGAGCCTGAGGCACAGGAAGGGGAAGTGGCTCATCCAAGGTCACCCAGCTGGCTAGAGGCAGGAATAGATCCCAGGAGTTCTGAGTTCCAGTGTAGTGCCTTATCCACTAGGCCACACTGCCTTGGCAGGGATGGGTGGGACCAGATCTTGTGTCTCAGAGCTATTGGGACAAATTAATCTGTGGTATAACACCACTGAATTCCCTGGAGTTACACCAGGGCTTAATCTGCCCCCTGGTGTCTCTATAAACCTGGGGAGGCAGAACTGCATCCGTTCATATTTGTGAGGCTCTCTGCAACCCTATGGACTTACAAACTTCCTCAAACTCTGCAAAGAGCAGAGTGGACCGGCTCTTGCAGGGGAGCCAGTGCCATGTTCCACTGGGAACAGTTTCAGTCTGGATTCTAAACCGCCTGGAACATCGTGCTCTGGAGTGAGATGTCCGAGGACTTAACCCAACATGGTCGTATGTCATCCACCTCGCTCTCCTGCGCTTCTATACCGCCCCCCCCCCCCTTGACATAAGAGGAATGGCTAATGCTCATCTTGATCATCCATGCCCAGCTTTCACTGACCCCTGAAGCTAAACCTCTATGCAGTCCTATTAGTGTCCGTCTGCTTTGTAATGCATGCCTGCCACCCAAAGGTAACTCTCCTTTGATCTCTTCTAGGTCCCATCAGCAGCATCCTGGTGAACAAGTATGGCAGTCGGCCAGTAATGATGGCTGGGGGCTGTCTGTCCGGGTGTGGCTTGATCGCAGCCTCTTTTTGTAACACTGTGGAAGAGCTCTACTTCTGTGTTGGGGTTGTGGGAGGTGAGTGGTCTTTTCATGACTCCTCGTGTTTAGGGTTAGAATCCTAAAAGTGCAACTTAGCCTTGTCCTAAGTCAGTATATAAATTGCTATATATCTATACACACTCTGAATCTGAAATCCTCCTTAGTGAAGGATGTGTGTATCAAAGGAGATAATGTTCTGGTACTTAGACATCCCCGTCTTATCTCAAATCAGCCTTATTTCACACTAGTAAACTTCATTATCTCTTGTATTCTGGAACTCCTTCAATTCTGGCTCTAAAAATAAATAAATAAAACCCAATAGTTTGCTCACTAGCAAAATTGGCACCTTCTTCCTATATCACTGAGAATCTGCAATAACTGGCCAAATCCAGTTACTCCCTTCATAACTTCTGAGGTCAGCGCAAGTTAAATTTAGTATAATGTGAGAAGAACTCAGCCCAGTATCCAATCCATTAATCCCAGAATCTACAGATGTGTAGCGACCTCTCATTTTTAAACTTACATGTATTCTCTTATTTTCCAGGTCTTGGGCTTGCATTTAACTTGAACCCAGCCTTGACCATGATTGGCAAGTACTTCTATAAGAAACGTCCATTGGCCAATGGATTAGCTATGGCAGGTAGCCCTGTATTCTTGTCTACACTGGCCCCCATGAACCAGTTTTTCTTCGGTATATTTGGCTGGAGGGGGAGTTTTTTAATTCTTGGTGGCCTTTTACTGAACTGCTGTGTAGCTGGATCTCTGATGCGACCTATAGGCCCCAAGCCAGATCCGCTGAAGAAAGAGGTCACAAAAGAAGTATTGCAGGAAGCTGGGAAGTCCGCTATGAAAGCGGATGAAGGAGCTGGCGATGCCAGTGTGGACCTTATTGGTGGAAAGAAGAAGAAGCAGAAGCTCACAGTTTACCAGACTATTAACAAGTTCTTGGATTTGTCCCTGTTTACACACAGAGGCTTCTTGCTCTATCTGTCCGGCAACGTGATTATGTTCTTTGGACTGTTCACTCCCTTAGTCTTCCTCAGCAATTATGGCAAGAGTAAAGAGTTTGGTAATGAGTCGTCTGCCTTTCTGCTCTCCATTCTGGCCTTTGTAGACATGGTGGCTAGGCCTTCCATGGGACTGGTGGCAAACACCAAGTGGGTCAGACCGAGGATCCAATATTTCTTTGCTGTCTCTGTGGTGTATAACGGAGTGTGCCACCTCCTGGTACCCTTTTCCACCACCTATGCTGGGTTTTGCATCTACGCTGGGTTCTTTGGATTTGCCTTTGGCTGGCTCAGCTCTGTCTTGTTCGAAACACTGATGGATTTGGTTGGAGCTCAGAGGTTCTCCAGTGCCGTCGGGCTGGTGACGATTGTGGAATGTTGCCCTGTGCTCCTGGGACCACCTCTCCTAGGTAGAGTATGTTTATGTATCTCCTGGGGTGAGAATACCAAGGTGGGGAGGGAACAACTATTGCTCCTTCCCAAAGGACACTTGCTGGGAAGGCTGAGAATTGAAGGCACAGAAGTGCAGAAAGGCATGAGGGTAGCCAGAACACACATGGAGGGCTCTTCCCAGCAGGAATGGCCATTGGTTATAGACATACTAGAGTGTGTGGATTATAACCCAGTGCAGGGAGGGTCTTCCTGCAAGGAGTATCCACACTTTCTACATGAAAGTTCAGAGTCCATGGGAAGTTTCTCAGAGTTTTTCCCCTAGAGCAAAGCAAACTTTGGTTTTTAACCTTGGGGAGATGGGACTAGTGACAGCTTGGATACCCTGGTTAAAAATGTCACCCAAAAAGCAGGTTTTCTAGGAAATTCTGGGGGACTCCTAGGCAGTTTTGGAAAACAGCTGGATTTTCTGGTCTACCCAAACCATACAAAAAAAAAGACTGCCACTAGCCCCCCCAAAAAGGGGCTCTTACATGAACAGCCTCTTCCTAGTGGGTTTGCTTTTAAAATTTAAGCTGACATTGATTAGAGCTTAGTGCTATGTGCATTGCCATTTTACCAGCACTACATTTGATTAACACTTAGATAAAGCTTTAAAAAACCGAAGCTTTTAAGCAGAGCTTTTGTTCTTGTGGCCAGATGCATGTGCATGCACACACATTACGAGTTAGACATCTGGGGAGAGCTTATGCATGCTAGCTTAGAGTGATTCCCGTTGTATAATGGGAGATGGTCAGCCACATAATGTGTTGTCCTCTCTGGTCCATCAGGTAAACTCAATGACATGTACGGTGACTACAAATACACATACTGGTCATGTGGAATCATCTTGATCGTCTCTGGGATCTACCTGTTTGTGGGAATGGGCATCAACTACCGGCTGCTGGAGAAAGAACAAAAGGCAGAGGACAAGCTGAGAAACGAAGGGAGAGAGGAGGAAACCAATATCGATGAGGTCGAGAAACAAAAAGAGGTCGAGAAACAAAAAGAGGCCGAGAAACAAAAAGAGGCAAACAATGATGTGGCCAATGTGTCGCAGAAAAACACAGAAGATGGCATAAAAGAGGAGGAGAGTCGCATGTGAGGGACTGATTTTAATCCTGGAGGGTTGGAGGAAGTGCTGTTCCTCTAAAATAGTGTCTGGGGAAAATGCTGTGCTGGTAGTGAGCAGTCATCAGAAGTGTATAAACCAGGTGTTCATTTTTAAACAAAGCTCTCAGTTGTTTTTCCATCTGGATTCAACAGAGGTAACAGCTAAATGTGCCATATCCTCTTACTTGGGTGGGAAACTTTTTTTATATTCTGGCTTTTTAACAGTAACATGAATGTACTAATAGGTGCCTTAAAGTTTCCACCTCTAGACTACTCTGGAAGAGCCTTAACGCTACTCTGTAAACCATGTTTTAGTTAGTTTTGTGATCTGCTTAGGGTATGTCTGTTTTTAAAGCCATAAAAAAGGATACTGGATATTTTGAGGCACAACCGGCTTCAATGCTGAGTCTAAAATGAATACTGCTTCACATACTTCTTAACTGCCAGACTCTTAGTGGAAGTTGGAATATTTTTGGGGTGGGTTAGTGGGAGGGGTGGTCTTAAAATAAAACACGACAAAATCCAAACTCCTTTGGATGCCAGACACCACCTGGCTCTATTTGTAGGCTTTTCTAGCACCTCTTGAAAACATTTTTATCTACTGTAGTTTTTTAAACATCCCCCCCCTTAGTTAAATTTTGATGAAACACTTGGGTTGGAATTGATGACTGAAATTAATAACTATCTTCACTCCACTCCTTTTGGGGTGAAGCCTCATTTTATTGTGATCATCCCATTTTCAGAAATGACACTTGCTGAGGCAGGAAAGATTCAGGTTTAGATCATCCCACTTTTCCTAGGCAAAGAAATTTCCAAACTCTGTCTTTGTGATGCCTCTCTTTAAAGTAACACTATGAAACCAAATGGGTACAAATGCAGAAGGTTGAGTTTAGTTAGGAACCTGCTTTAGTCATAACTAAAGGAATCAATGCTGGTATGTATCAGGTCTGTGCATCAGTCTTTCCAATCCTATTACTGAGTGAGTGTGGCTTTGGAATTGGAAGTCTTCCGCTGCTGCTTTATTTAGGAAATCAGCATCTCTACCAGTGTGGGTCAGTACTACTATGTCCCTTCCTCTTCCCCTAGCCCTGACCCTGAGCTTCCTAAGAGGTGGCTTTTCTTTCCTGAAGCTTCCTTTCGACTGTGCACCCCCTCAGTAAAATCGAGCATTCTACTCTTCATGGAGCTCTGTTCCAAACAAGATGTTGCAAAAGGCTTGCTGGCCACCTAGGATGGCTCCCACTCCTTTTGAAGTCAACAGCAGAACTCCCAAATGCTTCCATGGGAATGGAGTTAGCTTTTAGCAAGGGGGTGTCAGTTCTGTTACATATTCTCAGAGCCTCTCCTGTGTTCAGAGCATGGCTGGCTCCCTTACTGGTATGGATCTGGTCTTGAGTATGTGGCATATTGTCTTGTGCTCTGAGGCCTAATATTTTGCACACTAAATGGGGCCAGATACAGTCATACTCTTATACGCCCATGAGATAAAATAGCTAAAGCTGCGTAACTGTCCCTTAAAAAAACTCTACTTGCTCCTGTTTAAGTGAGCATTTAAAGCAATTTCTAACTACTCAGATCAAAGACCCTTAAAGGGGGAAGGGGAGGATGTCTTCTGTTTGTACATATTTATTTTTTTAGCACTGGTAAATATCACAACTTATGTGAAGAGGGTTAAGCAGATGGCCTGTGACCCATAGGCTCCTGGTGCTTGTGTTTTAGTGAATGTTAAACAGATATCCTGTAAGAGACTGAAGTTTTTGGGTTTTTTCTAATAAACTTTTGTATAATTCATCCACCAAATGTTGATTTTTTTTTTCTTTTCTAGTCAAATATTTTAGTATAATGTTTCATAGACACATTCTAGAGATGCACCAGTTGGTGAGTATTTGGTAGGTTTTTAGGGGGAGAAGCATGTGGGATATTTGAAGTTACAGATTCTTCAGGTTGGCCCGTAAGAGTTGGTGGTGTAATGCAGTTCACCTAATCCGTGAGCACTGGAAGGCTGTGGCAAGAGAATAAGCAACAAAAATAGAACTTCAGTCCTTCCCTTTGAAGGCAGAAGAAGTGTTCTTGTTTGTAATGTGGTTGGTACAGTAAGTGAACTGCATTTCTTGCTCAAATCTCTTTAAAATGACAAGCTGACTAACTTTAAACTCTTACTGGTGCGAGACAAGCCTTCTTAATTTCACAGAGAAGCATGTTGGGGATCATCTGAGCTGCATTTCTTGTGAGATTAAGTCAAAGCCGAACAAAAACAAAGACTTGTAGTTCTGTGTGTCTGGAGAATACAACACCCTGATACAAACTCCATTTAAAACTTAGACCCACAAAGCTCATTGGAAAGTAAAAACACTAAAGGGAGTGTACCATTCCAGATACTGACTGCTGTAGCTCCAATGAGGGCTGAGTGTGTTCACACACCTTATACTTTTTTTTTAAGAGGTCTACTCAACTGCAGAAAGGTGTTTTTTTGTTTGTTTTTGTTTTGTTTTTTTTGTATGTGGGTAGATTGTAGCCCCAGATGGTCAGCAACTCTTCACACAGTGATGCCACTGCCTTACTTGGTTTTAGAGATGATTTTTAGGGCCTTGTCTACACTTACTGGGGGATCAATGCGTGCACGGTTGATTTAGCGGGTCTAGTGAAGACCCACTAAATCAACCGCAGATCGCTCTCCCATCAACTCCTGTACTCCACTGGATCGAGAAGAGTAGGGGGAGTTGATGGGAGAGCATCTCCCGTTGACATAGTGTAGTGTGGATCCCGCGATAAGTAGATCTAAGTTACGTTGACTGAGTTATGCTATTCACGTAATCCAAATTGCGTAGCTTAGATCAACTTTTCCCTGTAGTGTAGACAAGGCCTTAGAAGCCATTCATGTTGTCTTGGCTTTTAAAAATATATAATTTAAGTTTTAAGAAAAAGCCTAAATATCTGAATTTCTTAACAAAAACTCTTAATGTTAAATCAGCTGAAGGATGGGTTTTTTTGATGAAACGAAACCTCATCTGGTTCCATAATCTATCCTGGGAAATCTTCCATAGTTCTATTAGATCTTCCTCTCTCCATTGTCCTCCTAGGTTTTACCTGGTCAATTTTTCATATTCCAGAAACTTTTAAGCTATAACTTTGCTGAAGAACAGAGTTTGCACAACATAAGATGCCAGACAAACAATAGTGAGGGTAGTTCATACAGTTCTAGGGCTAGTAGGTATAAAGTTGAAACTAATTTTTTTTGAGACTTTTTACATATATACAACATACAGCAGGTGGCCTTAGCTTTGTCACTTGGAGCCCTGGACAGTATTAGATAATGAACTGTGAAGTCCTCTGCCCTGTTTCCTTGGCTGCTGACTTAGTGAGGGTTGTGTTTTTTTTTTTAATTGCAGTCTATTCTAAACCTACAAAAGGAACAGGTCAGGGTTTTTCATACTCTAGAATAACTTTATAAAGCCAATAGAGTATTTTGTATAAACGGATTTTATTGTACTGTATTGAGCTGTGACCTTGTAAAACCAAGATATTGTATGTTTATAAATTCTGTATGTCTGTCATAGTTCACATTGCAATAAACTAACCTTAAAGAACTGAAGGTGTGGTTGCTGTTCTTGTATATACGAGCAGACAAATTACCAGCTGCTACATATTCTTGCACTTGGTTTGTTCTTCCATTTACCGCACAATGGAGTCTTGCCAGGTAAATTGGAAACACTAAAAATTTCACCCCAATGAGGTACCAGCTTGACCCCTGGAGACGAGGTTCTGTCCCCAGCTGGACAATCTTCCCTACCAGTGAGTCTCAGCCATGACCTAGAGGGACTAGTTCTATGGGGAATTGCCTGCCATGGCCCTTTCAGTCCCTGGCCCTTTCCACAAGGTTGCCACTCATGGTGATGTGAACACCTAGAACTGGGTCACTAGCCAGTCATATAGTGAAAACTCTTGGTTGCTACCCCCGACTGGAGACTGGTGCTGGGCTTGCTGTGGTTTCACTGCTTTTCTCTTGGTTGTAGGAGCTGTGAAATGGCTTCACTGTGCCCTCTTGCAGTCTTGGCCAAAGCAGTGTGTTTTCCGTATCTTTAATCTTACATAGTGCCATTAGTACTAGAGCCTCTTAGGCAGTGTTTTCACTGCCAAAAACCTTGGGGGTGGCAGTTGTGGGGGTTTTTAACAACAAGATAATGCAGGTTAAGGACCCCGCTGTAGAATCCTAGTGGACACGACGCACTGTAGCTCTTTGCATGAGGTGACTTGGTGAGGTGAACACTGCATTGCACCACCCACTGCTTGAGGTGGAGCTTGCCTAGGTTTACCTAGCAGTAAAACTACAGTGCCTTGCATCCACTAGGACTGCATGGTGGGATAGCGAACGTGCACAGGTTAGCACAGTGAAAACCTACTTCTAGCAGGAAAGGGAGAGCCCATGATTTTTAAGGAGCTCTTGGCAGATGAGGGTGGAGAGCCTCTTACTGTTCAGACTTCAGGAAATCTAATATTTAGCTAAAGATTGGGCTGTTGGACTTCCTTGTGGGATAAGGGCTTGCGGCTACCTCTGCTCCCATTTCCCAGCACTGGCTTCTGCTCCCTGTGTTCTCATTCTCCCAGGCTTTTTTTCCACCAAGAGGCCAGTAACTGCATAAGGGCCTAGTCAGGCAAAGCATTTGTGCACATGCTTGATCGTGTGCATGACCAGCAGTCCCTTTAAAGTCCATAGGGCTACTCATGCTTAAGGGCTTTGGTGTATCAAGGCCTAAAACATTTTTGGCCTAGAAACTGAAGATGGAACGTGTATAGATGCATGTAGACTCAAGGAGCTGAGTCTATTTTGCTTCACAAAGAGAAGGTTAAGAGGTGACTCGATTAGTCTACAAATATCTACATGGGGAACAAATATTTGATGATGGGCTCTTCAATCTAGCAGAGAAAAGGATAACATGATCCCAGGGCTGCAAGCTGAAGCTGGACAAATTCAGAGGGGGAAATATGGTGTAAATTTTTAACCAAGAGAGTAATTAACCATTGGAGCAACTTGCCAAGCGTGGTGGTGGATTCTCCATCACTGACCATTTGAAAATGGAGATTGGCTGTTACTCTAAAAGCTCTGCCCTTGGAATGATAGTGGGGAAGTTGCGTGGCCTGGGCTATACAGGAGGTCAGACTAGATCATCACAATCAAGGCTTCCAGTCTTGGAATCTCTGGAGGTTTAGTTCTCAGTGCTATGGGTTCACTGCCCTGTTATCAGGCAGTAATATTCAGCAAGGAAGTTGTCCCCTTCTGGGATAATGTGTAAATGTTGTCATGTGCCTACAAAGGCAGACTGTCCCCTTTCATCTGAGGACCATCCACACACCCCACCGGCTTGACCCATTAGAAAACTACTCTGAACGTAGCATCATGCTGGCACAGGATGAGGGAGATGGACTGAGACCCATTGGGTACCTGCCTCTCTCGCCTCTGATGCGTTGAGCCAGGGAGGTTTAGTAAAGACAAAAGCTGCCAATGCCCACAAGTATTCACACATTTGCATGGGAGGGGTTTAGTGGAGTTATGCTGGGCAGAATACTCACTGGCTGCTATTAATAAAATCAAAGAGAGTTAATGATGAATAGTCTGCATGCTCTAGCCCTCCAGCAAGTCTTTGCCTGTGCAGTTTCTTTAATGCCAGCGCTCATCCCTACACTGTTTTTAGCAGCCTCATTAGAGCTTGGAACAGGAGCATTGCTGGCAGCCTCACCCTCACCTTTGACTGAGTAAGCACAAATGCCTCAACCTCCAGTAGCTTAGCCACCAGCCCGCTGCTCGTACGGTGGACGCCAGTGGGTTACTCGCTGATGGCTTGTGTTTGGTATTGGTGCATGGCCAGTGGAGCTGCACCATCCCGAGCAGCAGGCCCACATTGCAGCGACACTCCTATGCATATGGTCCTAATCAGCGGTAGCGAGCAGTGACTCGAACTGTAGGAAGTTGAAAAATGGCTGTGGCACATTTCTGCAACATGTCAAGGAAAAGCCCTGCCAGTGTCCTCTACGCCCTTTGGGGGTTTTTATTTGGTTTAAGATTTCCCAGGACTTTGATTTTTTTTTTTAATTATAAAAAAAATTGTTTTCTTGAATAAATATCAGATTAAAGTTGGGTGATGGGAGGTTGAAGAGGCAGAGGCAGCAAAGGTCGCATCTTTTCATATTGCCTCCACCTCTTCTGCTTGCAGGCCTGGTTGGCTGGAGAAATGACAGCTCTCTCCTGCCAGAGCTGGGGCCCTCTGACACCAGTTGTTTTAAGGACAGTGCAGTGAGGTATGCAGATGGGGGAGGGTGTGTGTGTATCTTCCACTAGGTTGCTTTACTTTAACAGAGAGCCTTGCGCTTACGCTTTGGCTAGGTCTGGAAGGTGCAATTCCCACGCACAATAAAAATAGTGGTGCTGGGGTAGCACGGGCCGCTTCAGGCTAGCCACACGAGTACGAATGCAGGGGGCCAGATGGGTACGTAGTCAGGTGGCTAGTCCGAGCTGCACAGCTATTTTTAGCACGTGAGCCGGAGCAGAGTTAGGTAGGGTGGCCAGACAGCAAGTGTGAAAAATCGGGACGGGGGTGGGGGGTAATAGGAGCCTATACAAGAAAAAGACCCAAAAATCGGGACTGTCCCTATAAAATCGGGACATCTGGTCACCCTAGAGTTAGGGTGGGTGTGTCTGTGCAGGCTGGGAATCGCTCCTCCGAGCTCAAAGGCAGAACAGAACCTTGGACTAATTTACTATTAACAGAAACACCTGGATGGAATCAGAAACCTGGGGCTGGAAG